GGTCTAATATACATTATTAACAAACAATAAAGAAATATTGTTGGAATATGTTGTGTTTCAGTGGTCTAATATACATTATTAACAAACAATAAAGAAATATTGTTGGAATATGTTGTGTTTCAGTGGTCTAATATACATTATTAACAAAGAAGAAAGTATTGTTGGAATATGTTGTGTTTCAGTGGTCTAACATACATTATTAGCAAAGAAGAAAGAATTCTTGGAATATGTTGTGTTTCAGTGGTCTAATATACATTATTAAGAAACAAGAAGGAAGTATTGTTGGAATATGTTATGTTTCAGTGGTCTAATATACATTATTAACAAACAAGAAAGAAGTAATAATGTTGGAATATGTTGTGTTTCAGTGGTCTAATATACATTATTAAGAAAGAAGGAAGTATTGTTTGAATAAGTTGTGTTTCAGTGGTCTAATATACATTATTAACAAAGAGAGAAGTATTGTTTGAATAAGTTGTGTTTCAGTGGTCTAATATACATTATTAACAAAGAAAGAAGTATTGTTTGAATAAGTTGTGTTTCAGTGGTCTAATATACATTATTAAGAAACAAAAAGATTAGATAATTTATAATTATTCCTTTAGGTAATGTAATGAACCTGTACACTTAATGTAGTTTAAATCTTCCAACACAGAGTTCTTTGAGGTAAGATTTATCATATAGGATATTCAGTATGTTAAATATCATTTCAAAAGTTATTTTACAAATGTTTATTAACCTTCCTCTCCACTTTGATTCAATTTTTTTTCCACACTGTACCATACAATAAAATATTTAGAAAGGAAAATTTAACAAGTCTGAAGAAATACAGTAAAATGTATTTCCAGTACATAATATTTACAGTTATGAATATACCTTGAACAATTTCAAAGTCAATGAGCAATTCTGAAAATACTACTAAACCCTCAACAAAAACCATTGTTACTATCACAGCATTGAAGACTTTTCCATTGACAGACACCCATATCCTCTCACATAGTCTGCAAAGAAAAGAGAAAACCTTTATGAGTACATACACACGTACTGGACATATTAATCAAACTTGTATGCAATTAAACACTTAGAAAATGTTAAACTGTGAAATACAAGAATATCAAAATTTTAAACATGTGATACATTGATTTTTCAGTACATCTTGATGGTGTATAATGTATAATACTAAAATATGTTGTACTAAATTATATTAGTTAACATGTATCCTTCAACAAACATGTTGTATTCAGTTACATTAATCAACATGTATCCTTCAACACTAAAATATGTTGTACTAAATTATACTAGTTAACATGTATCCTTCAACACTAAAACATGTTGTATTTAGTTGCACTAGTTAACATGTACCCTTCAACACTAAAACGTTGTATTTAGTTGCACTACTTAACATGTATCCTTCAACACTAAAACATGTTGTATTTAGTTACACTATTTAACAAATATCCTTCAACACTAAAATATCTTGTATTTAGTTATACTAGTTAATATATATCCTTCAACACTAAAACGTGTTGTATTTAGTTACACTAGTTAACATGTATCCTTCAACACTAAAACATGTTGTATTTAGTTACACTAGTTAACATATATCCTTCAACACTAAAATATCTTGTATTTAGTTATACTAGTTAATATATATCCTTCAACACTAAAACGTGTTGTATTTAGTTACACTAGTTAACATGTATCCTTCAACACTAAAATATCTTGTATTTAGTTACACTACTTAACATGTATCCTTCAACACTAAAACATGTTGTATTTAGTTACACTAGTTAACATATATCTTTCAATATTACATTACATTTTGTGTATACCGAGCACAAAAAATATAAGGAGAGTTTTAAATATACAAATAATTTAGCAAATGTCAAATATTTGAATACATTAACACAAGAAAATCACCCCACCTGGTGGAATCATCATCATCCAGTGACTCATCACCTGTGAGACTCCAAACCAGTGGTTCTGAGTTTCGCATTAGTTCTTCCTTACTGTTGAAAAACATGGAAAAATTTCTCATGTTAAATGAAAGCTATAATGCACAATTATGTTTTCAAACATGAATGTTTATTTTTGACAGTATGAGTAGGTTTCTCTGAAAGGAATGAAGATGAAACTTGCAAGAACAAATCTGCATTGTCCAACAACCATCTACAACAATAAACTGTACAAGCTACTTCAATTTCCTTTCTTCTGGTTTGATTAGACTTAAAAAAGACGAAAAAGTATGGGATTGAGACGTCTGTCATAGCTTAACCCACATGATGACAGAATTGATGACAAACACCTAAAAATCAGTACATGTAGGAGACTAATGCTTATATTTCACATCTATTTGAATACATGACTAAGCTGTACCCACTAAGTTTGGACTAAACCATTCTAGAGAACTACAAACACAGGGCTTCATAAAAACTTAAACATTGTAAAAACATTATAAAATACTTATAACAGTAAATGTATAAAACCAATATTTATAACAGTAAACTTACAATTAACATTTCTCAAGACATAAAAATTATAATCACCAGTATTTACAGTAAACTTTTTGATAAAGTTGCACATAAAACACAATTAAAACTATTTTTATTACATACTTATGCCCTAACACTTGATTTCTATAATATTAGTAATTACTTATTTGTCCAAGCTTGTCTTTGGTAATTCTTTATTACAATGTCTTATTTGATTCATCCTTTATAAAAAATCCTGTTTTAACAAGTTTGTCTGTGGTAAATCTTTATCAAAATTCCTCTTTTGAAAAAGTTTGTATAGTTTATGTAGCAATCCTATATCAGAATGTCCTGTTTGATTTATCTTTATCAAAAGTCCTGTTCTGAATAAGTTCATCTTTGGTAAATCTTTATAAAAAGTCCTGTTTTAACCAAGATTGCATTTGGTAATCCTTTATCAAAATGTCCTGTTTGATTAATCTTTTATCATATGTCCTATTTTGAACATGTTTGTCCTTGGTAATTCTTTATCAAATGTCCTATTTTGACCAAGTTCGTGTGTTGTAATTCTTTATCAAATGTCCTGTTTTGACCAAGTTTGTATGTAGTAATTCTGTTGGATTAATCTTTATCAAAAGTCCTGTTTCAAACAAGTTCATCTTTCACAAACCTTTATCAAAAGTCCTGTTTCGAACAAGTTCATCTTTCACAAACCTTTATCAAAAGTCCTGTTTCGAACAAGTTCATCTTTCACAAACCTTTATCAAAAGTCCTGTTTCGAACAAGTTCATCTTTCACAAACCTTTATCAAAAGTCCTGTTTCGAACAAGTTCATCTTTCACAAACCTTTACCAAAAGTCCTTCCTATTTTGAATAAGTTCATCTTTCACAAACCTTTATCAAAAGTGCTGTTTTGAACAAGTTTGTGTTTGGTATTCCTTTACCAGAATTTCTTGTTTGATTAAACCATTATCAAAAGTCTTGTTTTAAGTTTATGTGTGATAAGCCTTTATCACAATGTCCTGTTTTGAACAAATTTGTCTTTAGTAAATCTTTATTAAAAAGTCCACTTAGTTAGACACTACTTGAAGACTTGTCTACTTAGCTAAACACCACTTAAAGACCTGTCCACTTAGTTAGACACCACTTAAAGACCTGTCCACTTAGTTAGACACCACTTGAAGACCTGTCCACTTAGTTAGACACTACTTGAAGACTTGTCTACTTAGCTAAACACCACTCATAGATCTGTCTACTTAGCTAAACACCACTCATAGATCTGTCTACTTAGCTAAACACCACTCATAGATCTGTCTACTTAGCTAAACACCACTCATAGATCTGTCTACTTAGCTAAACACCACTCATAGATCTGTCCACTTAGCTAGGCACCACAGGAAAATCTATCCACTTAACTAGACATCATTCAAAGACCTGTCCAATTAGACATCTTTTGATTACCTGTCCACTTAGCTGGACACCACAGGAAAATCTATCCACTTAGCTAGACATCATTCAAAGACCTGTCCAATTAGACATCTTTTGATTACCTGTCCACTTAGCTAGGCCCCACTTAAAGACCTGTCCAATTAGACATCTTTTGATTACCTGTCCACTTAGCTAGGCACCACTTAAAGACCTGTCCACTTAATTAGACACCACTTAAAGACCTGTCCACTTAATTAGACACCACTTAAAGACCTGTCCACTTTGTTAGACCCCACTTAAAGACCTGTCCACTTGAACACCACCCGAGTACATGTCAACTTAGGCGGACATCATTCAAAGATCTGTCCACTTATCTAGACACCACCCAAAGACCTTACCTATTAGCTAGATGTCATTCAAAGATCTGTCCACTAAGTTAAACACCACTCAAAAATCTGTCCACTTTCATAGACATACTCGAAAACCTTTATACTTAGCTAAACACCATTGAAAGACCTGCCCTCTTAGCTAGACACCTCTTAAATGTTTGTACACTTAGTTAGACACCACTTCAGGGTTTGTCCACGTATTTAGACAGCACACATAGATCTGTACACTTAGTTACTCACCACTCAGTTGCCTTCAGAAATGTGTAGTTGTAAACATGAATGAATAAGTAATGTCTTCCTATATAGCAGCAAAATACAATGAAATGTGTCACCAAACTAGATCTCTCTATTCAACAGATTTCAAGATCCCTCCTATCAGCAAAACATCCACTTCCTGTGTAATTGTGGAACATCTATATCATGTTAGTGGCTTTTAGAGTTCTACTATAAATTCAATGTACTGTGTAACCTTACTAAAATGAAAATTATTGACAAGTTCTTTTCAAGAGAAATTAACCTAAGATGTTTAGTGAACTAGGATAAAAAATCTTATCAAAGTCTGCAAACAAGATTCTATAACTTAGATCAGAAATCCACTCAAACAGCAAGATTCTATAACTTAGATCAAAAATCCACTTAAACAGCAAGATTCTATAACTTTGGTTAGAAAGTCACAAACATTATAAAGTTATATAACTTAGATGTAACAGTTTTAATAGAAAATAACATTATAAAAAAAAATTCTGAGTGTTAAAAGTATAATTAAAAACTTTGAAATGAGTAGTTCTTCTTCTCAATGTCAAACATTTCCAGATAATTACTTTTTTTTGTTACACATCTTTGACATTTTTTTCCCCTATCATACGTTTCTGGACAATTATCATCTTTTACACATCTTTCTGACATCTTCTTGTCACTGTAACACATTTCCAAATAGCTACTATCTGTTACACAAGTTACCATATTCAAAATACTATAATACTGTGATTTTAATCAATTTAATTTTCAGCTTAATATTTTATGTCAACTAATGCTCTAAATGTATAGAACATTCAACATCAATATTATCTTTATGTAACATTTTATTTCATTTACAAGAGATTTGCACAAAATGGAATATTAAGTCAAAGTTAAAATGAAGTTTTAAAAATTACAATACAGTTTTTCACAAATCCTCAACACTCTCTTCATTGTTAAGAGTACTCCAAAACAAGAAGAATACTGAATGAGCAATGACTATTATTTTTACTGATTTCAACTTAAATAAACAGAAAGATTCAAAATAACGACGAAATATAAAAAAGTATAAATTTCCTAAAGTGAATATAAAGTCATTACTGAGAAAAGCTTTCTTTGACATAAACTAAGTCTGAAACAACAGAAAACACTAACCTGAAACAACTTGACTAACAGTAACTGCTAGTAGAGACAAATTGCTCAATCATTATATCAACTAAATATAAATATAGTAAACAAATTTGAATACAAAAACAAGCTTGTACAAAACAATGGCTTTTCCTTCTTAACACAGAAGCCTAATAATATTTGACAGGAAAAACAAAGACAATGTGATACACATGGAAACATCTACTCACTGTACTGTGACACTATTGCCCCCTACAACAAAAACACTTTCTCAGTGTGCAAACAGGATGTACCATATAACTTTTCACTACTACGTACACCTGAATAATGCTGAATGTTTTGGGACCACCCCTACAACAAAAATATCATAATATACTACAAAAATTTAATGATAACAAGGTATAGTAGTAGCTTGAGTAAATATTCAAGGATAAATTGTGATATTCTAAATTCAGCTACAAACAAACATCTACCAGCTACATAATTATATCTAACTGTTTAACAAGCTTTTATGACAAACATTGCACATAATATTTTGTATGTTTATCAAAGTGGTCAGATATGGGAAAAATGTATTTAGTACAACAATATGACTTTTTTTTTTTAATGTCAATGGGAATTGTGTTAGGATCTTTTTTTTGTTCATAATCTGTCAAAGATCCTAACACAATTCCCATTCACCCAGTCTGAAAAATGTCTAATTACTATCACCTATTACATTCTCTTACAAAGCCTTTTTTCTTTTTTTACTTTACTTCTACAAAACAAGACAGTTAAATCTGAGGTTCAAGATTCCATTTCTAACCCTACAATAATACTTTCCATGTGTTTTTCTTTAGACAAAAAATGTACATCATATTTGATTTAACAACAACAAAAAATCTTTACAAATTCATAAATCAAGGCTTTGTAAATCTTTCTTTACTACAAATCAGTTTTCACTTAGTTGAAACTTTAGAAAGTTATGCAAATACCAGGGTTAAATCCTGATCACAGTAAACTGGTTTTGCTTTTAAACTTGGGTCAATACCATACTTCTCAATTATTTAACATTTCAGTATTTATGTTAAATATTTTCAATTTGCAAATATTCCTATGTGATGACATTAATGGCAATCATATCATATTGTATATTTAAGACTTAAGGAATATGTTCAACCACACAAAACTTGGTTAAAAATGGCCTTTTCTAAATTCTACAGCATAAGATTTCTTGGAAAGGTTAACAAAATATGTCAAATCCAAATCCTTAAAGTTGTTATATTCATTCTTTAATAGTTTGGTAGCACACTCTCCTCTCTCATCAAAAGTTAAGAAAAGTTATTTTACAGCTGTATACAAACTACACAGAATTAAAAGGAAATGTCCCTTTACATTTAATTTCTAAATTATTTGCTTCGCACGTTATCAATATTTAATTCCACTTTCACATGTCTATGTCTGAATAGAATAAAACTATTTTTGTAAGT